GAAAATTGTTTTCATCTCTTCTTAATCTCAAAAGCCACATGTGACCATTATTAAAAAAAACCAAATATATTTTTCTAAGCCTCGTGGTCAGTTCTCAGCCCCATCTTACTGCATCTCTCGGTGGCATATGACAAAGGTGGCCACACACTCATTTTCTGATTTGAGGAAGAAAAAGGAGACAGGGTGGTGGGGGCAGCCAGTCACAGGGAGAGGGTGGGGGATGGGGTTAGAGACACCAGCAGGAGCCGCTTGTCTAAGGGGTTTGGGTTCATCTCAAATGCAATCATTTGAGTGATTTCTTCAGTCTGTCTTCACCACTAGTGTGCAGGCTCTATGAGGCCAGGGATACAGTTGTTCTGCAGCCCTTAGCTCAGGGCCTCTCACACAGTAGGATCCAGTCACCTGTCACTGCCAGCCCTGTGCTGTGGGCTCCCCACGTCTTGTGGACACTAGATCCTCTCACAGCAAACACACAGGGCAGTGACGACCCACTGTGCTGACTTCTCCCCTTGGAAAACTTATTCACATGTTTTGTTTCATTACTTTTATTTTTTTCCGAAAGCTATTGTTCACTGCACAATAAAAAAGACTTCAATATATTCAATATAAAATTTACTATAAAGTAAAAAGAAAATGCCCACTCATCTCACCCCAATTTCATTTTCCAGATGTAACACATGACAACATTGTGGTGTTTAGCTTATCATTCTAGGCCTTTTCTCTAGACGCACAATTGGTCAGTCGATCAGCAAAGATTTATTGAGCATCTGCTCTGTGCCAAGCATAGTATCAGTGAACAAAACAGACAAATCTATAGCGGGGAGGTTTATTCAGACAATAAATACATATGTAACATATATACAAGTATTATATGTATAGATTTTTTTAAAAGAATGAGATGCTATAAATATTCTTTAATGTTCATCCAGTTTAGAAAATCTAAAAATTAACCCAAAGTAGAAGGGGAAAAAAGAGAAAAACCCCATCAGTTTTAGATTCATGATCCAAAGAGAGTGCATTTTATAGCTCTGTATAGTACCTTGCAGTTTTCTATCAATAGTTAATTATTTTACAAAGTCACGATCATACCAAAAGTACAGTTTTCCTTCATCTTTTTTCTTGCACAAGAAATGCAAACAGAAAACCTAAACAAAAGCAAAATCCCATGTAAATCTACCACTCAAAATTAATCACTGCTAATCTGTAATTTTTTTTTTTTTTCCAAAACTAGAGGTTTGGGGGCCAGCCCAGTGGCGCATTGCTACAGTGCATGGCTTGGGAGCGCGGTGGCGCTCCCGCCGAGGGGTCGGATCCCACATACAGACCAGTTCCCACTCACTGGCTGAGCAAGGTGCGGGCGCAACACCGAGGGTTGCGATCCCGTGCCGGTCCCGGTCCAGTACGGGCGCGACACTGAGGGTTGCGATCCGTTGCTGGACACGAAAAAAAAAAGACAAAAAGGAAAAAAAAAAAAAACTAGAGGTTTGGGATCACACTGAATATATCACTCATTAATGTATTGTATTTCCATTGTCATCCTACACTGTTATTTTCATGGCCGTAGACTCGGCCATCAAGTGGATTTGCCGTAATGGAATCAACCAGTCTCCTTTTCTTGGATATTAAGATATTTCCAATTTCTGATTTTTATAAGAATACTTAACACGAATGAAGCAAAATGTTTGCACATTCTCTTAGTTATCTAAAGGAGTGATTTTACATTGTTTTTGTTCATTTTAACTACATCAAAATGTTGATTGCATTTATCTTTGGTATTATATGAGATTATTACTTTGTTTTTATACTTCTCTGTATTCTCTAAGTGCTTTGCAATGAACAGGTTTTATTTGCATAATCACAATATTATTTAAAACTATGCCATGAAAATTTTTCATGTTACCACAGTTTTCATGGTAATGGCTTTCTGTGGTCTATAATTCCAGCTAGGGGATAGGCCATAATTCACTTAACCATCCCCTGTCATTGGCCATTTGGGGTATTTTTTCCGGCTTTTCCAAGATCATTATGCAGGAAACCCACTCCGTATCTGGGCTGTGTCCTCGTGGAACAGCCCAGCAAAGTCCAGTGAACAGATTTCACACCTTTGGCCGATCCTGCCTAGTTGCTTTCCCAAAAGGACATTACAATTTCCACTCCCACCAGCGGCGTGTGGGAATGCCTGCCCCGCCGCCCTCCTCTCCCAGAGACAGCTCAGGCCACGGGACAGTGGCTCTTTCTGCCAGAAAGGCAGGAGAGAGCAGGAAATGGTTTTGTTGGCGATGCCAGCATGATGACCCATGCCCAGAACCACAGGACTGATTTTTAACAAGCCGGATTCCCAGAACAGAACCTGCAGAGAGAGAAAAGAATGCAAGCAAGAGAAAAACTCCCTGCTGGAAAAAAACACACATACACAGATTAAAATAATATTTGGCACTTACGTCGCACTTTTAAAATTCTTCAAACGCTTTATAAACACTAGCTTATTAATTAAGCCACCTAAATCTGGCAGCAGTTGGAGGAGAGCACTCGAGAGGAGCTAAAAAAAAAAAAAGGGTGGGGGGAACAAGCCCTGCACAACTCCAGATTTTATTGTCGCCTGCCTGGGTGTGATGACAGGCCACCGGCTGCACCACGAGAATAGCCCTGCTCCGCCATGCCATCCGCCTGGCTCCACAGCCGCTCCTGTGCCGGCCTGTAGCTCACCGACTTGCTGACTCACAGCCCCACGTGGTGTTATTGATAAAGATAATAATAACTGCAAGCCAGCTCAATCCTGGGCTCCAGGCCCACACCGTCTCCTGCAGGTGTAGACGCGAGCTCCGTTTAACAAATGAAGAAAGGCTTAGGAGATCTGCAGGGTCATGGATCAAATCTCTCCATTCATTCATTAATGTATTCATTCAGCACATTTATTGAGGACCTAGTATGTGCCAGACACTGTAGGAGGTTGGACACAGTCCCTGTGAGGTGAATAGGACCATCCAGAGAAAAACAAATCTATAAATAATATAGCTGGTGGTAATAATGGGACCAGGAACTAAAGGGTAACCAGCGCCTATGCAGCAGGCAGTGCTGTGAGACTATGTCACTGTTCTCATGACTGTGCTGGGGTGGATGCTGGTACCCCCCTTATGGAAGGTGGAATGCGGGCCCAGGGAGGGCCCTGCTGGCCCCAGCCCCTGTGTTTCCTCCAGTCCACATTTCCAGTTCACCCAGTCTCCCATGCTGACATGCAGACCACTGGGAATGTTCCTGGCTCAGTGCTGTTGGCGTTGCTGCGGGTGCTGCCTCTGCTGTCCCTGGGTGCCTGCTGGCCTCCATGCGCCTCTCACATACCTGGCCATCAGCTCTGCCCCTCTGGGGCACGGCTGATGCTGGCCGAGCACCTGCTCTCTGCAGGCTTTGGGCTCTGCCCCTGTACCATGAGGATGGGGCCACGCTCAGGCTGGTGCTCTGAAACTCTGCTCACCTGCCCCCACCGTGAGAATGGGGCCCCAAGGGTGACCCCTGGGCAGGAGTCAGAGCTGGGTGTGGCTGGAAAGCAGGGAAAGAGGCAGGACAGTGGGAAGATGGATGAGAGGCCAGTTCTGAGGCCCTAGCTTGCCCACAGTGAGTGCAGACTGGGATCCATGGGCCTCTCTTCCCCCATCCTTTCTTTTTCCTTCTCCCCCATACCTCCACTTTGTTCCGAATCAAGCCCTGGCTGTGCCTCACTCTGGGCTGTTCTCACTCGCTCCCGAGCATCTGCGGCACATCTCACGGCAACCTCATCCTGCCCGTCATCCTCCTGGCTGCGTCCTCCCTCCACCCCCCAATCTCTCTACCTGGGGTCTATGTCTCACATGCCCCCGTGGTCTCCAGTTTGGAGCTAGGGCACCTCCCCACAGCCCACCTCTCGGACTCCTTACTTCCCAGCCTGGGAGCCCTTGAGGCCTGGACCCAGTCCCACTCCCATGAGTCCCCAGCATCCAGCCCTGGGCCTGGCCTGCGGGGCATCAGCAGGGTTTGGTGAGAGCGAAGTTGGAGCAGCAGCCCCTCCCCATTTATTCACTGTTTAATAACAATAGTTTACCCTGTGCCCTGCTGATGCTAAATGACTTCTCTGTGTGATTTTTTCTCTTTTAAGAACAAGGCAGAGGGCTAGGGGGTGTTCTACCCATCTTGTAGATAAGGAAACTAAAACCCCAAACCAATGGCTAAACGAGGGTCACACGTAAATAAGGGATGAGCCAGATTTTAAACCAGGTCTGATGACTCTAAAGACCAGACGCTTCCTTTTGACACTGTCCCTTGTTTGGTTCTATGAGAGATCCATCGAGGTGGGGTCATAGTAACTATTTTACAGATGAGGAAACCAAGGCTGAAAACAGTAAGGGACCTGCCTAAACTACGATCAGCACTCACATTCCTGTGGCACTTGCCAGTTGTCAAGCACACTGGCATGAGTCCCTGTTGGATCCTCTCAGTCACCGGGGTCATGGCCCAGGTCACTCAGCTGTAAACCACTGAACAAGGACTCAAACCTGTGTTCTCCTACTTCACTACTATCCAAACTGCTGGATCCTGGGCCAGGCCGGAAGGAGAATCTACCACCTTGTAGAGCCCTGTGCGCATCAGGATGCCTCCTACCTCTGAGCTTTGCCCAGGTTGTTCCCTCTCTCAGGAACACCAGGCTCACTTCTTCCTGGTAAATTCAGATTTGAATTCCAGAGCTCTGCTCAGACACGACTCCTCCAGAGAGAGATCGGGAACTCAAACCTGTACTCTGCCACGTCACTTAGCCTTCTGTGCCTCAGTTTCCTCATTTGTAATAGAGTCCCATGTTGCAGGCGTGCTGTGCAGGTTAAATGTGATGACACATGCAATGTGCTGAGCTCCAGGCCTGCTCACGGTGCGTGCTCAGACAGTGAAAGTCGCTGTTGATAAGCACTTGGGAAAACACAGGATCCTGGGAGGATGGATGGATGGATGACTGACCGCTTTGTGTTTCCCTCCAGGAGCATCAGGACAGGAGGAGCTGCGGGTGACTCAGCCTGAGCCATCAGTGTCGGTCGCGGCCGGAGAGGCGGCCACTCTGCGCTGCACCGTGACCTCCCTGCTCCCCGTGGGGCCCATGCAGTGGTTCAGGGGGGAAGAGCCACGCCGGCAGCTGATCTTCAGTTTCAAAGATGGACAAGAAGCCCTCTTCCCCCGGGTAACGCGTATTGGAAGCACCACAGAGAGAGACAACAAGGACTTTTCCATCCTCATCAGAAACGTCACCACAGCTGACGCCGGCACCTACTACTGTGTCAAGTTCCGGAAAGGGACTCCTGATGTGGAGTTTAAGTCTGGGGCAGGCACCGAGCTGTCCGTGCGTGGTGAGTACGGCGTGGGCCTCCTTCGTCCCCTGGTGTGTGACAGCAAGACAGTAGTGACGCCCTCTGCTCTGTGAGCATCGAGTAGGAAGCAGGTGCGGTGGGTGCTCATTTCCATGATCCGAGTCTACAGACCAGGGATGGCGGCCTGGAGAGGCCACGCTGTGTGTCAGGGCCCCAGGTGGTAAAGGGGACATCTGCACCCCTGGTCCGCCTGCTCCACTGCCATTGCCTTTTCCAGCCTGGCCCAGCCCCTTGGCTGCACAGATGAGGGAGGGGGCAGTTATGACCTACCCAGTCCCAGGTGACCCCTGCCCCGCTGCCTCCAGGGAGCACTTCCACTCAGGGTCAGCCTGGCCCAGCCCCTTGGCTGCACAGATGAGGGAGGGGGCAGTTAGTGACCTGCCCAGTCCCAGGTGACCCCTGCCCCACTGCCTCCGGGGAGCACTTCCACTCAGGGCGGCTGAGTCTTCTCTTTCCTCAGAAACTCTGAGAACCTTCTGTGAGCCAGGCTGTGCTGTGGATGCTGTGGAAACAACGAGAACGGATGGGCAAACTTTCCCCCACCAGCTGACATTCTCTTCCCTTCCAGGGAGGAAAAATCCATCCAGGGCAGGGAGGTGGATGTGTTTTCTTTATTATTACATCTTTAGAAACCCCACACTGAGCAGATTCCTCAGAGGCTCAGATGCACTGTTTAATCTGCTGGTCCTGGTGGAGGAGATGCCCAGGGCTTAGTGTTTGCTCTGGGTCTGTCTGAAAATCCTGGTGCTATTCAGGGACCAAATCACACAGTCACTGAAGTTCTGAGCAGAGCTGGGCCATCCCAGAATGTGCCTCACCCAAGGCAGGAGGTCCCCCATGTGGGTGACTTAGGGGTTCCTCAGTTGAGGCAGCCAAGATGCTCACTTTAGGTTTCCTTCCAGAGGGCCAGGATCCTCTAACTCCTGAATCCAGAAATGTCAGCACAGGAAAGACCTATACACCATCCAGCCCCATCCCCTATTTACAGATGGGGAGTCTGAGGCCCAGAGGTGACAAGGATCTTACCCAGGGTCATGTGGCCAGTTAGCGACAGGATCAGGACCAGACCCAGACCTAACTCCAGGCAGGCTCCTTCCTGCCCCAACATTAGACACTCTCCATAGAAGAGCCTGGTGCATAGCAGGCACTGAAAAAAAGCTCCTTAAACCAAATCACTGGGCAGGGGCCAACATTTCATCAGTTTCCCAAAGGTTCAAATGCCCTTTGCAATCAGACCTTGCAGCCAGTTGGTGATTAGAAAACCTCTCCAAATTTAAGTCCTATCATTCCATATGGAGATTCCATATCAGTACAAAGAGAGCTGCTATATTATTTAAGAGCTGCGTAATTCTCCACCACATGGAAATACCATCATTTATATTATAGCTTCCTGTTGATAGACATTTAAGTTGTTCCCAACCTTGGGCTGTGGACACAGTGCTGCAGGGTACAGGTGGTGATGCCCATAGGAAGTGGCACTGCTGGGTCAGAGGGTTTGTGTATTTTAATTTATGTGGATGGTGCCCCTCCTGGATACGGTAGAAATCAAGTCTCACCACAACCCCTGCACACAGGCAGGGAAGGAGGCTTTATCCTGACTTTGCAGATATCACAGACAAGGACACTGAAGTCCCCAGGAGGTGCATCCCATGTCTAGGCAGTCACAGCTAGAAAGTGGCTCAAGCGGGACTCAACTGCTTCTCCTAGTGGGTTCTCATCCCTCTTCACCAAGCCATGGCCTAAATGACGCCCTGGAGGGGGAAGGAGGAAGGAGGGAGGCGGGAGGGGACCAGGGAGTGGCAGCAGATCAGATGCTGGGTCTTCATCCTGGCATGTTCTGCTCATGCCCAGTGCCATGTGGGAGGGGCCGTTTGTTGCCCCTTTTACAGATGAGGACACGGAGGCTCAGAGACGAAACCTGACCTGTGAGCAGTAGGGGGGCCAAGGTCTGAATCCCAACAGCCTGACTCAGTCCCTGTCTCTGCAGCACCCCACGTGCTTGTCACATGTGGAGAACTGCTCCAACCTTCTCTCCTAAAATCCTATATTGTTCTGCTCTACAGCAATAAAAAATTTAAAACAAAACAATACAAAAAAATTGTGTTGTAGGGGTAGGAATGGGTGGCTTTAACCCCAGATCAGTGCCACCCTGCAGACATCTCACAGTATGTGGAAACTTTTCCTAAAGCACATGTCACATCTGTGCAGCATTTAGGACTCTTGTCCCTGCTGTGGTGATGTCACTTCTCACCAAGCAGCATCTATGGAGCAGAGATGACTTCGTGCATCCAGCAGACCATGCACACGCCATCTTATGGCGCTGAATACCAAGGAAATACCAGATAAGGCATTTCCTAGGGTACATTGGGACCCTTTGGGGCAAGTTATTCTCCTCTGGGCTGACAGGAGGCTACTGTCTTGCATTGAGGACTACAGGGTAACCAGCCAGGCCTGGGCACCCAGGAGGGAACTTCTCCCTAGAATTGCTTGACATGAAGAATCTCAAAGAGAAAAGGGGAGGTGGTGGTCAGTGTCAGGGCTCGAGAAGTTGGGGCACTTGCTCTTTTGATGGGCATGAAAGCTTCCGGGGCACAGGAACTGCCCACTGGGACACAGTGGGGACAAGGAGACACTGCCCTCAGTTCTCGTGGCCTCAGTTTTCTCATCCATAAAATGGTGATAACCATGGATTCCTTTTAGAAGAGTCGAAAGGATTTGAGATCCTCCCTGTAAATCACCCAGCATAGAGGAGGCACCCCCAAACTGAGGGGATATTTCTAGGTTATGTTACTTGGGTGATCCAGTTTCCTTTGCTGAGCCTCAGTTTCCCCATCTGTAGAATGTGGACAATTGTACCAGCCTTTCCAGGATGTCATGAGCACACAGTGAGCCTGGTGAGAGAACAGACCCTCAGTAAGCCATGGGGTTATCGTCCCAAACCTGTACAATCTCGGACATGTCTTGGCTTCCCTCAAATCATCAGTTTCCCCATCTGTGACATGGTGATCATCATGGCCACCATCTGGGGTGCTGTGCAGGTTGGAGAGGATGTGCACAAAGCCCTGGATGGAGGTCTGGCAGGGCTAGTCCTGAGCATCAATAGCACAGTGGTCAGGAGGACAGGGCGGGAGCCTGCTGCTGGGCCCACATCCCAGCTCTGCCGCCTCCTGGCTCTGTGACCTACAACAGGGCCCTCCCCCATAGTGGCCTCAGTGTCATCACCTGTGGATGATGACACCGTCCACACAGAGCAGGAGAAGGGACAGAATGGGCCAAATCATGGAAAGTGTTAGAGCAGTGCCTGGCCGTAGTGAATGTTCTAAATGTGAGCTATGTTGTGCCCAAGCCTGTGACCTGGGATGGGTCCCTTTTTCTCTCCAGGCCTCAAGAATAAATGGGGAGTGGGGTGGGGTTGGGTGGCTCTCAGCCTTGACTGCTCTTTAGAACCATCTGGGAAACTTTGAAGAAGATTCCAGACCCAGGCTCTATCCTAGAAATGTTACTTTAATTAGTTTGACATGGGCCCGGGCATCTGAAGACATTAATTACTCCAGAAAACTCCAATACCCAGCCCGGGTGAGAACCCTGAGCTAGACATCCTGAGGTGACATAGGAAAAGTTGGGTTTTTTCCCATGGCAGAGGTGGTGCCCATCGTGCCCATGGTGCCAGGGCTTTGAGAAGAGCATTTTGGGTGTGTTTCAGGATAGCACGTGTGTGGATGGCATGGCCAGGACAGGCCAGACAAAGCCCTGCTCACATCCCACCCTCAGTGCTGGTACCTTCCTGTCTTTAAATAGATTTGTGTCCAAACAGACGCTGGAATCCCAGCGACACCCCAGATGTCACTGAGAATCTGTTCCCTGCTCCTTTCAAAATGCTTCTGGCTTTCTCTCAGTAGCTCCTCTGGAGGAAGACGCCTATGATCTTGTTTGTATTTTGAAAGCCAATTCACCAAACTTGTTTCCTGAGGGTATTATTCAGAACAGAGGGTAAAAACCATAATTCGGTGATTTCTGCAACCTTTTTTCACTTGGATGTCACCTTCGCCGTTCCTCTCAGCCACCTCCCTGCTCCTTGCTTTCTAGCCTCTGCCCAGTCTCTATTCCATGTTAGACTTTTCCATCAGCATCTGTGACCTCACCCCAGCAGGCTCAAGCACCTACCATGTGAAATTCGGAGAGGGAGCCCTGAGGACGTGGAGTTTGAGTCTGGACAGGCATCCAGGTGACAGTGCTCACAACAAGGACCTCTTCTTTCTCCTCATTTATGATAATGGACCAACAATAATCACGGCTGCTCACTGCACATTTACTACATGCAGAGTTAATCTATGACCTCCTTTCCTGCTTCAACCACCCTGTGAGTTGGGAGCTTTACGGAATGGTAGAGCAGGACTCAGGGAGTAATGCAAGTTGTGTTGACGACCTCTTGCCATTAGACCAGGTGAATGGTCTAAACTCATCAAAATAGATCTGGGGTTCTAAGGACAGGACCTCTAGCCTACAAGGCAAATTTGTGCTGATTAGAGAAACATGCTCCTGTGATGGACATTGTCCAAAGACTTATAGTTGGCTAGAGTCTCCATTTTTGTGACAAAAATATACATAAATTTCCTCTCAGGTAGCAACTCCAGGAGAAGACTTCTCAAAGGCCAGGGTCCTTCCAATACACCCTGTGGTGTAGACCTCATCTGCTGGGTCAGCACTGGGTCCCATATATGTCTATGCCCCTGCCCACTGCAAGAGTAAAATAGGAAGTGGAGGACACACATTTCACTTCTAATAAAACATAGATGGAAGTTGCATGATCAGGTCCACCGATAACTTAGTCACGATGCACATCCAGTTACAAATGAAGCCCACAATTGGGTGGTCTTATGATTAGGAACTTTTTTCTGCAAACCAGTATCATTACCACTGTTAATAAAATTAACAATAGTTCTCTCATATCACCTAAAATGGAGTAGGTACTCAAATTTCCCCAAATTTCTTTTACAACTATTTTTTCATACACAAAAATTGATTTAAATTAATCTTTAAATGCTTGGTACAATTTTTCTGTGAAAGCATCTGGGCCTCAAGAAATATTTTCAGAATTTTTAAATTATGAATGCATTATTTGCTACGATAGCAGGGAACCAGGTAAATGTCACCTGCCAGGTGGGGAAGTTCTACCCCCAGAGACTAAACCTGACCTGGCTGGAGAATGGAAACGTGTCCCGAACAGAATCGGCCTCGACCCTCATGGAGAACAAGGATGGCACCTATAACTGGACGAGCTGGCTCCTGGTGAACTCTTCCGCCCACAGGGAGGATGTGGTGCTCACCTGCCAGGTGCAGCATGACGGGCAGCCAGCGGTCAGCAGAAGCCACACCCTGGAGGTGTCTGCCCAGCAGAAGGAGCAGGGCACAGATGCCGCCCCTGGTGAGGCCTCCCCTCCAGGTGACCTGGGTCTTTGTAAATTTTATCTTAATGTTATCTATTTTTTTAATGTTAAAAGTAGTAGTTGATGCTTATTATGGAATAATCTAGAAGTCAGTAAACAGAAAGAGGAATTTTAACATGAGCTTCCCTCCTTCAAATCTCCCACTCCAAAAGTCACCACTGGCGAGAGTCGGGCACACATCCTGATAGAGCTTCTGACCAAAATATGTATTAAAGTGAGAGAGAAGGGAGGGAGGGGATGGCCTGTTCACAGTGTCCCGCCTCCTGCCTTCTTCACCTACAGTTGTCACCTTCGCCGTTCCTCTCCTCTGGCTGGGCTCCCTGGCCGCCATTGCAAGCCTGCCCCCGGGGTGGGGGATGGGGGTGCCCAAGGTTTTGCAGCTTGTCTGTGGCAGTCGATGCTGTGGTGCCCATGCACGTACTTGTTCTGTGCCGCGTGCAACTGTTTCTGTGGGGTGATCTCCCAAGGAGTATTTCTAGGCCAATGGGCTTCCTTGTTTATGACAAAGGTAATGCTGCCACTCTCCTGGGAGAGCAAGAGGTTGTCAGAGTATCATGTCCTCAGCCCCCTACAATGTGTTGTGGATATGTGTCTCTTCATTTTTCAAAATCGCAGCACCCAGTTGGCATTTCAGGGCCCCTTGGAGTGTTTCATCACCTGTCATCAACGTAGCTGATGCCACCTTTGCTTGGGTTAGGATAGAGTCCATTTCCTTCCTTCATGCATCTTCAGGGACGCTCTGAAGACATCTCGGGGCCGTGGCAGAGTGGCCCTTTGCTTTCCTCCTTGCCTGGCTTCCATAGGATGCCCACTGCACAGGGAGACAGGATGTGTAGATTTCTGGCTCTGTCACAGACTTGCTGTGTGACCTTGGACAAGTCACTGCCTCTCTCTCTGGGCCTCCACTTGCTCATGGTAGGGCTGGAGATGAGCTTTGTGATCTCTCAGCTCTGAGCCTCAGCTGGTAGGGACCATGACTGTCTGCTTTAGCATTGCAGCTTCCAGGCCTGGCACACACAAGGTGCCAAATAAACACTTTTAGAAAGGGTGAATGAGTTCTTTAGTTGGCTAGTTAGGTAATCCTTGAAGCCATCCTATGAGGTAGACATTCTAATTGGCCCCAGTAGCAGAATGGGAAGCCAGGGTGTAAGGAGGGTTAGCTGACTTGCCCAAGGTCACACCCCTAGTTAGCGGCATCAGTTTGAACCATGTTTGGTGGCTCAGAGCCTCACACTTGATTAACCACTCTAATCAAAGACCGGCTACTTTGCCCTGGGACCAGCCACACCTCTATCTACCTTTCAAGTGTCCTGATTTGAGCTCCTGTGCCAACTCCTAAGCCCAGTATACATAGCCCAGGTCCCAGCACTGATCAGTGGTCATCCTGAGAGCTCTGTAGAGTCCGTTAGCAGCTGGCATGTCCACCAGTCCTCACTGTGCCTTCTTCCCCCAGCCCCTGCCTGACTTCCAGATGCTGATTCAGAGTTTCAGGTGGATCTGTGCTGCCATTGTGGCTACTTTGTGGTTTACTCCAGATGAGAAGGAATGTGTTTCTGTTCCTCAGGAGTGAGATCTCTGCCCACATCCTGTGGCCAGGGTTCCTTCATGGCTGTCAGCAGCAAATAGTGTCCCTCCTGGTACCTCAGCATGGTCTTTGTGCTGCTCATGGGGGATGCTCATGGGCAAGTGTGTGCAGACTCATGAGCCTGCTCGTGTGACTTGAGACAGCAAAGAAGGCCCAGCCAAGTGGTCTCAATGATGCCTGCCGAGTGGTGAAGAGGGAGGGACAGGGGGATTTCGTTTTCTCTGTTGTCAGTCTGCATACATGAAGCCTGTGTTCCATGTGGTCTCTAGGCAAATCTCCAAATAACAGCTGGAGCATCTATATTGTGGCGGGCGTCATGTGTGCCTTGCTGGTGACCCTGCTGATTGCGGTCCTCTATTTCCTCCGAGCCAGACAGAAGAAAGGTGGGTGGATTCCCCTTTTCCTCCCTAAGAGTTTGCCTCTGGGCTGTCCTGCCCCAAAGGAGACACCACTAGGTGCTCTGGGCTGCAAGTAGCTTAAACCATAAGGACATAAGTGGCTTCCAAATACAAGTCCAGAGGTAGCGACACTGGGGCTGATACAGCAGGTTCCTCACACTGGAGTGTGGGTGAGTCATCCATGGCCTTCCCCTCATGCTTGCGAGGTGGCCATCAGTGCCCCAGGTTTCACATCCGCATGGGACCACTACTGAGACGCGAAGCAGGGAGCTGCTAGGGTGGCAAGATTCAGGGACTCTTTTTACCTGTCCAAGGTAGGAAACAGTCCTTCCCAGAGCCACCTGGCAAACAGCTGCCTTCCTTGTGCATGTCCAGGTTCTATGCCCCACACCCAGACAGGAAGCTGGAAGGGAATGAGGATAACAGCACCTCCTACCTCCAAGGCTACTGGGAGGAGGACTGAATGGGTGACTACATGTAACATGTTAGGAAAGTACCTGGCATGCAACTAGTGCTCAATGTCAGTGCCTGTTGGCAGGTTTGCATGAGTCCAGAAACATGAGTCACCTCCCTAGAAAGCTCTGCTCATGGTGGCAAGGTGCATAACCTTTGCCTATAGCAGGAGGTTCGAACCCAGCACATCTTCCACTTGTTTGTGTGTGTGCTTGCGTGTGTGTGTGTGCGTGCATGCGTGGGGGTGGGGGGTTGCTATAGCAAGGCCTCTGACTTTGAAATCAGGTAAACCAGGGTTCCAGATCCTTGTTATGTACTCCAAACAATCAGTTTGGCCTCCACAAGCCTCAGTTTGCTCATCTGTAAAATGGGTTTGTCAACACCTGTCTTGGAGAATAGTTATGAGACCAAGATAAGTTCATGTGAAATAGTCCGTCTGACACATTCTAGGGCCTCAGTAAATTCACATTCTCTTTCCCACTCTTGGAAGAGACAATTTTAAGCTGGTATTTCTGAAACCTTTTTTTACTACAAGTGATAGAAATATATTTCACATTTCAACCTAACATGCACACACCCCTATATATAAAATTGAAACTCTGATATTTTCTTTTCATCATAATCTAGTCTCTTTTCTTAAAAATGCTGGTAGGCACCCACTGAGAGCCACAGCCTGCAAAGTGACAAGCGCCATCCCGTGCTACCTTTCTGCAGCTGGGCACCCAGCTGAGTGTGTCGTGCTTCAGTCACACATCCCCTTTGCGCCCCTCCATCTCTGCACCCCAAGCTTTCCTCCCTCCTGGGCTGGCTGGAAGGACTCTGTGCTCTGAGACCCTGTCCTGGCCTCCAGCTCCCATCTGGGGGTGCTGGAGTCAGACACTACTCGTCCAGAATCTATAACGTGTTCCACCAGAGAGCTACCCAATGGTTTCCCTAAAGTTCCTGGGAAGCCCTACACAGAAAAGATTCCTCCTTGGGTGGGGAGGCAGGTCACCTGCCCACCAAGGGTGACAAGCCAGCCCATGGGGTTGAGCATTCATGGTGGCCGTCCTTTCTGAGGCTCAGCCCTGGGCACTATGCCGAGCTCCTGGCACATGTGAGCACATTGCTGTGGGGTGAGGTGTTGCAGAGGAGGAATGGGGTTTGGAGAGCTGCAGCCACTGGTGAAGGCCACCCAGCTTCTGAGTGGTGGGTCTGTGCAGAGCCCAGCTGTCAAACACAGGCTCCAGTGACAATCACAGCTAACATTCACTGAGCAATTCTGATATGCCAGGCACTTCTCACAGGGCTTTACATGTAGTAATGTGGTCAGTCCTCACCACAGACCTCAGAGGTAGTATTACTAACCCCATTGTACTGATGAGGAGACCAAGGCATAGGAAAGTTATCAAGCTTGTTCAGGGCCTCACAGCCAGTAGGTGGTGGGGCCAGGATTCAAACTCCAGGCCCACATTGGGACCATTCTGCCTGCTGCCTCCCACCACCCTAATAAGATGCCCTTTACCCCTCGTTGGGCCCTGGAGGGGACCATCTGTCCTCCACCTCCCAATCCTCATGTGAATGTCCCGATTTCAACTCTACCTCTTGCCAGCTGTGTGAGCCTGGGGAATCATCCCGTCTCTTTTGTGTAAAATGGGGGTGATTAGTCACTGGATTCCCAGAGACACCTCATGTCCCAGCACTTTGTAGCCTGTCAGCCTCCATTCTGACGTTGGATACTGAGCTGCAGCTTCCAACTGTACCAGCTCACCTAAAGACACAGTACCTGCCCAGGAGCCAGGTGTCAACCTGGCAGCAAGAATTCTCACATGTGGCAGCCTTCAGCCTGTTAGAGTGTGGCACTAAGTGCATTTAAGTTTGCATGTTGCTTTTAATTACAATTTTATAGCAAAATGGGAGTCAGATGGCTGCTGAACCCCAGAGGCTTCTCTGTGGGGTTCCCCATATCACAGGTTTAAAATCTCTGACCCAGATGGACTCTTTCTTTCTCCCAAGATCCTGTTCTGCAGTGGTAACATGTAAATGAATGGATGCCCAGCTCAACCCTGAGAGTTATAGAAGCTCAGAGAGGGCAAGTGACCCACCCAGGTTCACACGGTGAATGCATTGGTGGCAGATCTGGGGTTCGCACCTGCTCCCCAACTCACAACCCTGCCAGAATCTATTCTCCACAGAGAGGGGCCCTGATGGGGACCCAGGCTTGCCGGGGGGTCTCCACCAAGGTTGAATGAAGACAAGGTCCAGGGGAAAGGCAGCAGGCCCCTCCCAGGCTGACAGCTGCTTTTGGACTCTTGGCAACTCCTGGAAGTGGGAGAGCAGGAAGGCCTGGATAACTCCCTCATGGGCTTCCTCCATGGAGGATAATGGACCCCCCACTGGGTGGACCAGGAGTGGGGGGGGAGGCAGTGTCCTGGTTCCAGGGATAAGTCTTCAATAATTCCTCCCCATGTCCCTGGAGGCAAACCTTTCCCCATCATGGGCTTCCTCCATGGAGGATAATGGACCCCCCACTGGGTGGACCAGGAGTGGGGGGGGGAGGCAGTGTCCTGGTTCCAGGGATAAGTCTTCAATAATTCCTCCCCATGTCCCTGGAGGCAAACCTTTCCCCAAAAAAAAATTATACAAGAAAAGTGATTTCTAGTGAAATAACTGATTTTGTTTCTTTTCTCTTTCAGCCAAGGGTTCCACTTCTTCTACAAGGTAAGTACGTCGCCGGGCCAGGACACCTTTGCAGTTCCTATCTGGTTATTGGACAGCCCCAGCGCACAATCACACCCACCGACCCTCACCCACAACCCAGGCAGCATTGCTGGTTCTTTCCTTTGTAACCTTCTCGCTCCAGGCCCATTTTAGTTGTTGTCTCAAATGAGGGGTTTTTGTGCACAGAGGCTCTGCTTTCTTGCCTGCTGTCCCTAGACAGCCAGCCCCTGGCGTAACCTCATGTGGACTATGGCAGAAGCCTCCCGAGCTTTCTGTCCTCACAGACATCCTGCACATGCTGCCGGACTCGTCTTCCCCGGATCCCGGTTGTGTACTCTGCTCTTTCCTCTGTTCAGTAAATGTTTATCAAGTACCTTGGCACGGTGTGCCCTGGGAACACCGCGGTAAGGAGGGTAGAATCTGTGCCCTCCCAAAGCTCCCAGCCTGGTCCAAGGCTCAGGCAATGATGTCGCATTACAGATGGTACATTAGTTTGTTGATTCATGTTTATAGTGTCTTTCGCTCAGTCTCTACTCTGCGCTGGCTCTGTTCTGAGTGCAGTGAACGAGATCAGCCCAGGCCTTCATGGGGCTCAGTTACCAGTGAGGGAAGCAAGCAGTGAGCATGGAAGCAAAATGATCCATACTGTCATGTCAGGAGGTGATGGCCCCAGCACAGCAAGGGGGTGGGCATTAACGGGGAGCTGTGTTAGGCAGAGGAAGGAGCCACCTCTGAAGCTGCGGTGGGGAGGACTGTGCTGGACAAGAGAGCAGTCGGGGCAAAGGCCCTGAGGTGGGATGTTCAGAAGGAACAGAGGAGGCCTGTGCAGCTGGGGCAGCAAGAACAGGGAGGGCAGGAGATGCGGCCAGGGAGACGCAGGGCCTCGGTCTCTTAGCAGAAATCCGTGCAGCCAGATGTGTTACAAGTCTTTTAGTAAAAAGACTTTCCCAGCTTTTAGGAAGGCCCCTGGTATTTACCCCCAGCACAGCAGGGGCAGTAGCACCCCCTAATCTACCGTGTGGATGTACCTGCCTGGAAACATGGACATCATACTAAGGGTCATAAATAAAACCAGCTTCATGCTGGTTCAGGTCAGGTTTTGCAAATGGGGTGTGCAAATTTCTCCAACTTCTTAGTGCTTTCTGGATTTTAGGATTTCTGAGCAGGAACTGAGGATCTGGAGTGGAAGCCAGTGGTCAAGGGCCTGTTAGAAGGACTTGGGGTTTTACTTCCAGTTTGATGACAAGGCATAGGAGGAATGTAATCCGAACTTTGTTTTAAAAGTGTCACCCTGACTGCGTGTGGAGAGCAGGCTATAGGAGGTGAAGGTGGAGGCAGAGGCTCGTGAGAAGCCTACTGCAATGGTCCAAGCAGGAGGTGGCCTGGACCGGGTGGTGGGATAGACCGAGAAATGGTCAGATTCCGGATATATTTTGAAGGTAGAGCCAGGAGGAAGTGCTGATAGATTGGATGTAGAGTCAAGGACAACCCCAAGGTTGGGGGCTGCAGGGTACTGTGTCCTGGGCTGGGGCGCAGAGCTAATGGGTGTGGTGATGGAGCCAATACCAGCTACTGAGGATGTGCACAGCAGGAACATCTCACCTGCCTGAGGGGGGCTCTGGGACGTCTCGAGTGCCCCTCTCCTGCCCAGCAACATGAGTCCAGGGTGCCCTTGGGATAAAGCCTTGCTTCCTGCTCTGACCTCCACTGTGGCTTCCTGGTCTAACCCTGTCCAGCCTCCAGACCTCCCCCACCCCCAAACACACAGAGCTACCTCTCCAGAAGTCCAGCTTTTGCCGTCCTCCCAGAGAAATGAGTTTTCCTATAGCTGTGCCTTTGCCAGTCACATTCCCATACTTCGTACACTCTTTTCCAAGGGCAAGACTCATTGCCAACCTGTGCTGAAAAACCTTCAGTGGCTCCCTGCGGCCCTCAAAAGAAAGTCCAGATTCCCTCGTGGTCCAACCCCTGCTGACTTTGTAGTTTCACCCCAGGCCTCGCACTGAGTCAGCCGTGCAGTGCTCCCTTCCCTCCTCCCCACGCTCACCTCTGAGCCCTGTGCACTGGCCTCCCTCCTGGGATGTGCTCCCCCAGCCCTGCTCACACACACTCAGGGCCACAAGCCCGTGGGGCAGTCACAGTGGGCTCTGCAGACAGCACCCCCAGAGTTGTGTGATGTGATCGCTAGAGTCGGTATCCCTCCTGTCACATGGTCACCTCCTGCTCTTCCTCATGAGCTCAGTGAGGGGGTTACCTCCTCCAGGTTAGAGGTCCCACTTGTGAGCCCTCCTGATGCCCAGGCATTGACAGTGACCTCCTGTCACATGGTCACCTCCTGCTCTTCCTCATGAGCTCAGTGAGGGGGTTACCTCCTCTAGGTTAGAGGTCCCACTTGTGAGCCCTCCTGATGCCCAGGCATTGACAGTGCAGTGTGTTCAAGGTGTCTCTGCACCTGTCCCATATTATAATCCGCCCCTCTTGGGGACAAGGACCATGTTCCTCATGATCCTGCTAATAGCTGCTGAACTTGGCACCATGCCTAGAATGGGTTAGGTGCTCAGCAAAGGTTTGTCGAATGAATGAGCAAATGAACGCCGTCCCATACCACTGCAGCACTCCCTAATCTGTTCCTCCTTTGAATCCGTGAAGCTCTCTCAGTGGGAAGGATCTGGTTTTTCATTTTGTTTTTGTTGTTGTCATTATTTCTTACTTGTCCTGCCTCCCTGATTAGACAATTATCCAGAAGAAAAGGACAGTGTCAATAATGACAGCAGCAGTAGCAACTAACATTTATTGAGCACTTACTGTATTCTAGGCTCTAATCTATGCCTTTACATATATTAATTAGCCCATTTGTGATTTTAATTATTGCAAAAATCGTATGATTCATTATTATCCCTATTTTATAGAACAATGGTTCTCAAACTTGAGTGCATAGGAGAATCCCCAGAGGGCTTGTTAAAACAAAGATTATAGAGTCCCACCCCCAGAGTCTCTGATTCAGAATAATTTGCATATTTATAACAAGTTCTCAGGTGGTGCTGAAGCTGTTGTTCCAGAGCCACACTTTGAGAACCCCTGTTCTAGAAGGTAATTATCGTCCAAATCCTATGGTTGAGGGAAATGAAGCTCAGAGATGTCATGGGACATTCCCAAGGTCCTGCAGCTTATAAGTGCCAGCTACGATTCCATCCCCGATTTCTCTGACACTGAATTTGGTGCTCTTTATTACTGCTCCAATGCCTCTTGCTGCTCATTTTTTCTTCCCCAGAGAAGCCAACCATTTTCTGCCTGTTTTTATTTTTCCAGCATGAGCCTACCAAGGGAGCCGGAGATCACTTGCCTCCTTTCATCTCTCTAAACCAAAGCGATAGCTCGAGAGAGATCATGGTGGTTTCCCATGCAGTGGCTGGCTCCAGCTTTGGCTGGCTGGGATCAGACACTTTCCAGTGCACACTGGCGTGGGGAAGAACTGAGCACCTCAGGGAGGGTGTGAGGGGGGAGGCCATTGCTTTGAGCTCAAAGGGCCCTTCACATTGCAGGACCAGTGGAGGGATTCTTGCTTCCTAACTCCCTGGGTTAGGAATGTACAGGCAGAACATTGTCTGCAATCTCCCCCAGCTCAGATGAGAGAAATGTGTGTCTCTGGTCCCTTAATTGGGCACTGGGGTTTATTCATCGACCATTTGTTCACTTGTCAGACATTCACCGTGTTTATTCTTGGAATATTTAGGGCTTCCCTCATTCTTTTATTTATTCATCCGGACAGCACCCAGCTCAGTCCAGGCCTTGAGCTGAGGGATTGCAAAGGGGAGCTGAAAAGACTCTAGCCCTTGTCTCAGGTTACTTACAATCCAGTGGGAGAGATGTTCATTCTTTCATTCATTCATTCATTCAGTCATTCAACACATATTTATGGAGTACCAACAATGGGCCAGCCCAGTACTAGGTGTTGGGATTTCACTGGTGAACGAGACCTAGTCCCTCCCCATGTGGAGCTCACAGTCTCCTGGGAGGCCAGTTACCAAACAAGCTGGAGGGTTAACATATGATGTGATGCAGGTGCTGACAGAATAAAATCAATCTGGGTAAGGGATGGAGCACAGCAAAGAGGTGGGGCTTGGGGCATCAGGATCGGCTTGTCTATGGAGGGGACATTTAAAAGAGAGCCGAAGGATGCAACGGCTCCAGCCACAGTGATGTCTGGGACAAGCGTAGACCAGATGCAGGAAAGAGCCAGTGCCAAGACCTCGAGGCAGGAGCAGTTGGACATGTTCATGGCACATGGAGGAGGCCAGAGTAGCTGGAGCGGATGGGTCGGGGGTAGAGGGATAGAAGGCCAGAGCATTTGGTGGGGGCAAACCACACAGGGCCTCACCAGGGACATGGAGATGGATTTCACTGCATGGTGAGAAAGCATTGAGCATTCTGAGCAGAAAGATAATGTGACTGCATTTATTCATTTTAAATGTGGAGGATGGAGTGCAGAGGGGCAGGAATAGAGGCAGGGGGACATGGGGGAGGCTCATCAGGAATCTGGGAAGTGGGATGGTGGAGATGATGGAGTGGCTGGGTTTGATATAGATTTTGGACGTGGAGCTGAAGAGCCTTGCAGTGGATTAGATGTGAGTTGTAAAGGAGGAGAGAGAAGAATCAGGGATGACTCCTACTTCTTTAGCCTGAGAATAGGATGAGCAATGGTGGTGCCATTCTCTGAGATAGGAAAGAAAAAGGAGAGACAGGAAAAAATGGATAATTGGTTACAGTCTAAAATGTTACTTTGAAAGAGAGGAACTCAGTTTTTTGAGAATGAAGTTTGGGGGTTCAGTGAAGGTCGCCCTGAGAAAGGACCGTTTAAAATAGGATTGGAAGGAAAAAGAGTAAAGCAGATGGAGAGGCAGTGAGAACTGACTGTGCAAAGGCCCTGGGGCAGTCTGATTACCATTTACTCTAGGTCACTTTTGAACACCTGTCCTCACGTGGTAAGGAAACATGGCAGACAGACAGCAACATAAAACGTATGAAAATATGCAAGGAGGTTTGAAATTGTCAAGGAAGGGCAACCAGCCAGCCCCGTACTGTCAGAGAAGCCTTCTCAAGAGGTGCCACAAGGGCTGAGTCTTGAAGGATACACAAAAATTAGTGAAGAGAAAAAGTGGCCAAGGGGGTCATTGAATGGTGGTGTTGAAGCATAAAGTACATGGCACCAGGTAGCCCTCATGAAATATTTGGTGGGTGGATAAGTGGGTAAATGAGGGGAGGGGAGTGCAGGAGCCTGGGGGAGTCAGTACGCCAGACCATGCAGGGCTTCCGAGCAGGGCGATGAGTTGGACTTGAACCAGACAGGCAGTGGGAGCTCTGGAAGGGTGGAGGGCTGGCGAGGTGTGGCTAGATCTGCATGATCTTCCCTGCAGATGTGTTCGTGCTCCCGGAGGGCCTTAGTGGCCACATGGGGCTTGTCATGCCCCAGAACTGCTTTCTGAGCTAAGCACTCATGTCAAATCCATTAATAACCTCACTGCCAAGCCCTATTGCTCATTTCTGACATTATCCAGGCAAATGTCCCCAGAGTTGCTGGCTGGAGAGTTTGCACATCTCCTGCCGAACCAGCAACTCTGGTTTGCTCTCCAACCTTGACCGTGACCCTCCCCTGAGCCAAGCCTTGGCCTCCAATTACAGAATCAAATGCACAAACAGCTGCCTTGATTCACTGGCTCATCTTGGTCTTTCTCTTTTCTTTTTTAATGATAATACGTAGACATGTGTAATATAGAACATTTGGGGAATGTGGGAAACTAAAACGAAGAAAAAACACCACACAGAGATCACTGCTGTTAGCATTTGCTGTGTTTCTTTCCAGTGTTATCCACACATTTTTCATAATTGAGATCATCCCACAGAGGATTTTGTGTTTTCACTTATCATTTTAATGTAATCGTTTGTGATTTTTTAAAAAAATCTCTTCGTAAACCTTTTAAATCGTTATCTGTGGGTTTATCCTAATTTCTCTAACCAGTCTGAACTGGCAGAGTCCTCAGATGTAAACTCCCCCCCCCCATCCTGCCTCTATACTGAAAGCTTTTTCTGTATTTTGAATTCCCCCCAAAAAAGTACAACTATGAGTCAAAAGATGAGGACACCTTCCAAAAAAGCTCCTGATTTTGCCAGCTGCTTCCCAAAAGGGTGGCAGTGGTTTCCCTCCCACCAGCAAGGTATGAAAGTGCCTGTTAGTTTCACCATGCCTTGCCCAACACCGAGTGTCATCATTTTTAAAGATCCTTGCCAAGAGAGTAGGTAAAAAAAAAAAAAAAAAAAATTATAGTGCCTTGTTTAAAATTCCTTTTTAGTGAGATTGAGCCCTTCGTCCAAACATTTGATAAGCAGTTGTATTTCCGTGGTGAGCTGCTCATCCATGTCCTCTACCATATAGGAAATGAAACCTAAATGTTATTCTTATCAATTTGCATGAGCACTTGAGATAGTGAGGGTATTTTTATCTGTGTGTCTCTTTCCTTTTTAGATTGCATGAGCCCGAGAAGAATGCCAGAGAAATAACCCAGGTACAGTCCTTGCTGAGACGCCCTTCCTGAGAAACTGGATGGTGTGATTTCTTTGCATCAACGAATGTTGCAGATCTGGTTCTAAATTAAGACTCGTCCTGAGGGGAGGGGGGAGAGCAGAGGAGTCTTACGTGTCTAATTTCCCCCATGTCCTCTGCCTATTCCCGCTGTCTGCTCCAGCCAGAAGAGTCTGTTACAGCCTCCTGGACTCTGTGCTCCCATAGCACAACTCTGGGGGGCACCATTCACAAAGTATCCTATGTACATGGTGCCCTGGAGTCAGGCTGCAGCCTCCCTTAGTGTGGGTCGTGCCTTCCTGCCTCCATGCATTTGCCCCGGCCAGTCCCTCCACCAGGAGCACCATCCCCAGCTCACAGCCACCTTGTAGCTGGCGCCTGCATGGAGTCACAGCTCAGCCTGCCAGGGCCTCTCTTGCCTTTGGTGGTAGAAAGTCCCTGTGCCATTAATTCCCTTACACAAGGGCACACTCCCTGGAGCTGGCGATTTCTCTTCAACATTACTAAGGAGATTTTGCAGGCAACGTGGTTGGCCTGTGTCCGAGAAATCTCACCCTGCTTATCACTAGCTGACACTGTCCGACCTTGGAGGCAGAGGGCTCCTCAGCATCTTGTAAGGGGACAGGCCCTGCTCTGAACTCGGATGAGAGCACGCCAGCTGTCCTCTACATTTCCCAGGCGGTTGTCATCGTTTCAGATGTAATCTGTTGCAGGAGTCAGGGCTGATGAAAGGCACAGTATTTCTGGGCTGAAACACGTCGGCCTGCTCTCCTGACCCACTGTGACCCCCAGCAGCGCTGAGCACAAGCCAGGTCATAGCTAGGAAAAATAAAACAATTTCTAGTCATGGAAGAGGGAGGCCTTCCCCGCAGTCATTTTACCTCTGGACTTCCTTCTGGAAACTTCTAGGGAAAGGATGACGGTGAGAATTGTTACTGAAACCTGTACGAATTCACGTTCTGCAGGGACTTCCTGAGCCCCCATTGTGTGCCAGGCCCTGGACAGTGAACAGGACGCTCACAACCCAGCTCTGTGGAGCTTGGCAGCCTGTGCCTGGATTCCCAAATCCAGGCGCTAGCCCTTGCCAGGGAGGGGATCTAATGCTGCCGACTGGGTTTCCCAGAGAGAAGCGAGGAAGAGCCTGCCAGGGTCAGGACAGAGAGCTGTGTGCTGAGACCACAGCTTTAGAGTCTCAGTTTCTTCACCTGTAAAGTGGGATATATAATTCCTCCTGAGCAGGGTTGTCGTAAGCCCTGAATGAGGTGATCTGTACGATTGCCTGGTGCTTATGAGCTCTGGGAACTGAGATCAGCAGTTACCCTTGTGCACTAGTGAGGTGCTGTCGTGGTTGGCAGCTCCACTCCACTGCTGCAGCTTGGGTGCCAAGTGTAGAGGGAGCAGAGTTTATCCTTCATGACCAGCACCTTGAAGGCAGTTCTGGGTGATAAGATTAACACATGGAAAGTATTCGTTTGCTAAGTGGTTGAAGATTGCTAACACTTACTGAAAGTAAGTGCCCAGCTAAGTGGTTGAAGATTGTATGCGCCATGCTCTGTCCTGAGTGTTTTACCTGGATGACCTCATTCCATTCTCACAGCAACTCTGGTGATAGATACTATTATTACTCCCACTTTACAGATTGGGAGACTGAGGCCCAGAGAGATAGAGTGAATTGCCCAAAGTCCCTCAGCCAGAGAAAGCAGCATCAGGATTCACAGCCAGGTTTTCTGACTTCAGAAATTTACCACCCCCCAACTGGTGATCTCATTCTCACTCAGCCCCAAATCTCAGTCTCCCAGTCCCCAGCATCACCCTGAGTGAGGCTGAAACTGTGGCATCCATTCATTCATTATTCATTCACCATGGATCAGGCTTCTTCTGCACCAGCCTTTCTGCATCATAACAAATGCCCAGTGAATGTCTGTGTAAATGCATGAATGTCCCCACCCACTAGGAGACCAGCATGTCCTCAGGCCCCAAAACGGGCACAGCCCTGGGTGGTGGGTGCTGTGATGGGGAACACAGGGTGAGAGAGTCCTGGAGCACTGGACCCTGCCAGGGGAGTGGAGGGCAGGGAAGGGTCTCAGGATGGAGCAGTGCTGGAGCTGAAACTTAGCAGGGTAGACTGGGACTCATAACAATGAGAAGGAGGGGGACAGACACTCTAGGAAGAGGGATGAACATGGGAAAGGGAGGCGAGAGCTGCAGTTCAGGCCGGAAGGAGGTGACATTGAGCAGGGCTGTGAGGACCCTTCAGGCCCGTGCGAGGAGGCAGGTGGATTGGAAGGCAAGTGACCTTGGCAAGATAAGAGGGGAGCCCAAATTAGGGCTGAGCCAGTGGGTGCCAAGAGGAGACAGAAGCCTCCAGACATGGTACCCAATTGGAGGATAAGAGGGCTGGGGGCTCCAGAATGAGCTTCTCTCCATCTCTTTTAGGTCCAGGACACAAATGACATCACATATGCAGACCTGAACCTGCCCAAGGGGAAGAAGCCTGCCCCCCGGGCCGCCGAGCCCAACAACCACACAGAGTATGCCAGCATCCGGAGTGGCCCGCCACCCGTGACGGAGGACACCCTCACCTATGCCGACCTGGACATGGTGCACCTCAACCGGACCCCCAAGCAGCCGGCCCCTAAGCCCGATCCGTCCTTCTCCGAGTATGCCAGCGTCCAGGTCCAGAGGAAGTGAATGGGACCATGTTCGGCTCTGGGCCTGTCCCCACGAGCTTTCTTGTCCCACATGGAGCAGCCGTGACAGGGACAGCCATCTCAGTCCCGGAGGGCCGGGGTGGCACAGGCCCTGGGACCCAGGGGTGAGGGCGGCTCTCATCTCCCCACCTACCTTGGCTCTCCAGCGCTTCTAGGGTGGCCACGGCCCTCCTCGTTGCCATATATCTTGAGGCTGATTTTGCCAGGCCAGCTGTGGAACCCACCTAGGAACTGGCCAGAGCCACATGGAGTCCAGGGACTGTTGTTCCTCTAACAATGCTAGGTCTTGTCATGGTCTTGGAGACCCTCAACCGCCTCCTTGATGCTCCAAAGCCTGATCTTCCAAGGGGAGGAGGAGAAAATCCCACCTCCTCCCACCACCACCCCCACCACCA